TGCTGTTCTCGTGTGCGTGAAGGTGACACAGGCCACGAGTCATACCCTGAGCTATCTTCATCCTCGTCGGCCAGTCGATGAATGTATCCGGTCCACGAGCTGTAGATTTCAAAGAAGTTAGAGCAAGCAAGCTTACGGTACATACACACATTATTACCTTAAAGACGTAAAACAAGATATGAAATTTTCAGTTACCGTGCAGGAACGTTGCAAGGCTCCCGTTCGGCATGTAATCGAAAACAAGAAGCTTTTCTCCTTTAGGTCCCAAGTAATAAGCCCTCAAAGCTAGAAGATTTGGATGCCTGATCTTTCCAAGTATATTGACCTCTGCTTCAAATTCCTTCTGGCTCTTAGTGATCTTCTCTCTCAACCTCTTTACTGCAACTTGACTTCCATCCTCCAATGTAGCCTTGTAAACAGTCCCATAAGTACTCTTTCCCATTATTTCTGCTGTTGCACACAAAAGATCATCTGCTGTGAACACCGTTTGCCCCTCGAAATGGACGAGCTTTCCTCCAGCATCCCCTCCCGCTTCAACTTCACTGCTCGTCGGAGGGACGCCCTTTTCGGTCCTCACAGCCCCGGCTGCTTCAGCCCCACCGCCATCCTTTTCTTTTGAAGCAGCTCTTTTCCTTATCAAGCAGCACAGCAGTACAAAGAAAACTATAACCAATACTACAAGGAGGGATCCTGCTGCTATAAGGATTATATCTTTAGTACTTAACTTCCGTTGTCGGGATGTCAAACTTTCCAGCGGAGGAGCAGGAACTTCTTGAGAAGGAGCAGGGGACAGGCACTGAATCGCACCACTGAACCCACAGAGCTGAATGTTCCCAACAAAGGAACTCGCATTGAATTTTTCGGCAAGGGCCCCCGGTACTGAACCCGAAAGGTTGTTATACGAGACGTTTAAGGATTGAAGAGCTTGCAAATCAGCAAGAGAAGCTGGGATTTCTCCATTTAGATTGTTCTGAGATAGATCAAGTTGAGTAAGTGTTGAAATGTTCCCAAAAGTTGAAGGTATATGACCATTGAATCTGTTTCTACTCAAGTTGAGAACAGACAGATTTCTCAATCCATCAAAACTTTGGGGTATGCTTCCATTAAGGAAATTATTAGAGACATCCAAAGTTTTGAGCAAAGAAAGCCTACTAAGTTCATCAGGAAGGCCACCATTTAGCCTATTGTGGCCAAGGGAAACCACTTGAACCTTACTTAACTTGCTTAAAGAAGTTGGTATGGTACCTGAGAGGAGGTTGTCATCAAGAGTCAAAGACTTGAGCTGAAACACCCGGTTTCGCTCGGTGGCATTGCTTCCCCACGAGTCGGGAATGCTGCCTGAGAGATTGTTGTGTTGAAGAGCGAGGAAAGTAAGGGACACCGATCGAGTGAGACTCATCGGGATCGGACCGGAAAACGAGTTATAGCTCAAGTTAAGCCAATAGAGCTTGGTGGAGTTAGCCAAACTCGATGGGATTGTTCCGGTGAGCAAATTATTACTAATGTGAAGAGTTTGAAGCAGAGGACAACGCCCCAATGAAGGCGGGATCGAACCCGAAAATCGATTGTTGAACAACTGAACGCCTCGAAGATTTGGAAGAAGCCCCAATGAAGAAGGGATGGATCCAGCAATGAAGTTGTCATGTAAACTGAGCTTCCTAAGGGCCTGAAGTTGGCCAATCTTCTCAGTGATTCTACCTCCTAATCCCTTCCATGGAAGCTGTATCACAATAACCTGTCCCTTAGCGCATTTAATCCCAACCCAGCCACCAGAACAAGCACCAAATCCACTATCATTCCAACTCTTCAAGAACCCTTTAGGATCATCAAGTTCTTGCTTGAATGCCTGAAGGGATTGAAAATCAGCTTGAGTCACAACCACGCCGTCCCAATCCTGGCTCAGAACAGGCTGAACACAGACAAAACTGACCACAAAAAAGAACAAAACTAATCCAAAATGAAGAGAAGAAACAAACCCATGGGGGGTTTTCCTCGAAAACCTCCGTTTCTTCTCATTCTTCCCTGGAAAACAGAGCCAATCGGCAGTTTCCATCAGCAAAACCCCAAAATCTCCAAGTGGGTATTTCCAACAAGAGTTGGAATCAAATGGGGTTTGGATTTCATCCATGAAAAGCTAAAGAAGAGGAAAGAAAAACTTGAAAAAAGATGAAAATGGAACGGAAGGGAGCATATGGAAACAAGAATGAAACAGAGGAGGGAGAGATTTTGGTTGGTGGGTTGCAATAAGATACCAGAGGCTCTTCCTCTTCCTCTGCTTCTGTGTTTCTCTCTCTTGTTTGATGAGCTCAACGGCTAGTTTTATTTTTTATTTATATTTTTGGTTCTCGATGTTTGTTTCTCTCTCTTGTTTGACTGCTTTGGGAGAGTGAAAATTGGGAGAGAGAGAGAGAGAGAGAGAGAGAGAGAGAGAGAGGGTTTTGGGGGTTTAGTGGAAACACCGCTCCTCCAACGGCTATATCTCCCCATGTTTCAGTGATGGGATCCACCGGCTAAGGACATGGGAGTGTATTATTCCTTGGGAAAAGAGCAAAATTAGAAACTTAATTCCTATAATTTTTTTCTTAATTCTAAATCTAAATCATTTAGATATCAAACGGTACGGACTAAATTTGTTGCATATAAAATATCGATACTCATCTTTATGTTAAAGTGTGTATCATAAAATTGTAACATTATACATAAAACTTCTTGTAACTAAGTCCAACAAGAATCAGCTTAATTAAATCAAATCTGTTTATTTTGGATGCCTTAATGTTGTTTTGATAATGGGACCCACCACAAACAAACCTTTCTTCCTGGGAAATGGGAGGAAGTTAGAAAGAAGCTGACCCAAATTGGCTTGTTTGATTCTTGAGTTTCTTCTGTCTTTTTCAAAAAAAAAAAAAAAAAAAAAAAAAACTATTATTATATTCACTTCGTTTGGTTCAAAAGGTAAAATTATTCATTTCTTTTCATGTTGTCTTCTATTTGTTTAATCATGGTAAAGTATACAACAAATTTTCAGGACATTTTCAATATCGTGGGGCTAACGTGGATGTGCAAACCGGTTTGGACGTTTAAAAAGGAGAAGAATTAAAATACATAACTATGGGGGTAGGATTTCTCATACTTCATAGAGATATATCAAACGCGTCCAAGAACACGAACTAGAAAAACATTTGAAACCAACAACTACTGTAAAATTGCATCAAACCTGCAAATTGAAGGATTGAACAAGCCGAAATCTATCTGGATATAACTCATATCAGGTTGCTGACACAACAAGTGAAGCCTAGGAAGACTCAAATGGGATGGAAACTTGATGATTTTCTGCAACTCTCCTGAGGGCCAAGCTAGTTTTGCGAAGAAAAGGGAAGGTGTATGAGGGGGATGACCCTTATTGCTGCAAGATTTTTGATAACTTAAACCAGTTCCCCTTCAGCATTAGTTCTTTGAAATAGAGGTCAACTCAACTTGTCCAACCAAGTCACCAACTCAACACAATCACCCACTTACATAATAGCAGTTTTGACCAAAAGATTCAGTGAAGGCACGTCTTTGCTCAACTCAGTGTCTAGCCTAAGCCACTTCGACTTGAATGTGGTAAAATGCCTTTGCTTCATGACTGCCATATTAAGTGACAACCAACGCGACACATTTCTCAAGTGATCAGACAAGAAAATGTATATCTCTACATCCATATGTTCTAATCAACACTTTACGCTTATTTGCACAGCTATAAATTATAATACCATGTGAATAAAGCTACACGGGTCCAAATATAAGCCTGAGTCAACCATACTTCATGCTCCTCATTCTAACAGCGACAGTTTACATATGTCAATCAACACAAACTTAGGGGGCAAACAATGAATGATCTCAACCCTTCCCATCACTTGCAACACTTACATCCATTTTAACTTGGCACTTCGAGTATTGCTTGTTACTCTATCAAATTATTCTCTCAAAAGACCGACTCTAACAGAGCTCTTTTAATCAATATAACAAATCACAACAATGTTCCTAAACTCTCAGACTACTCCACTTTGTGTTGCAAGTGATGAGACATGACAACTTACACTCATTCATGTACAATGCAATCCAATTCAAGCCAAGAAAGCTATTTAGGTGGGGCATTGTGAGATCCCACCCCGGTTGAAGAGCGGAACAAAGCATTCCTAGTAAGGGTCTGGAAACCTCTCCCTAACATATGCATTTTAAAATCTTAAGGAGAAACATAGAAGGAAAAACCCAAAGAGGACAATAACCGTTAGCAATGAACTTGGGTTAGCAATGCACTTGGGTTGTTAGAGGCAATGTGAAATGGGTAACCATGTGGTTGTTCACAATGGGCAAATCCATCTCATTGAACTAAAACATGAGGTACTTTCAGGCTTCCTTTCTTTCCGGTATGTTGTTCTATATGCCCTTGTATTCTTTCATTTGTTCAATGAAATTTAGGTTTCTTATAAATATAAAAAAAGATAAAAGAGGTACTTTCAATTCTACCAAATCTTGAGAGTGAAGATGTGAATTAAAGGGACTAGAAGGGGAGAAAACATAGGGGCCAAAGTATACTGTTACCCTTTTCTTTCTCTCTTCATCATTTCCCTCTCCTCTACCATTACCCTTTCCATTCTCAAAACTCCCTTCCCATACAACTTCAAAGAAAGTGATGCAGAATGTAACAATGAAACTATGAAACCATGAAATAATCTGTACAAGATCCCTGAATAAATAATCTGGAGAGCAAGCAATTATGAATTTCACTAAATTCAAAGAAATCTAATCCGAAATCTCCTACCAAAGAAAATGAACATCACGATAACTGGTACACCAGAGGTGCGTCACAGTGTAACCCCTTCCCAGAAGCCCCCACAACCCAACCCCTGCAAATACACATATCATTTTGGTAATAATATCACGATGTGAAGCGCAGTACACAACCATATTCATCCAGCAACTACATAAAAAGAGCAGCATGAAAGGAAACAGTCCCATAACAACCGAATTAATGACATACTTTGAATTCCATTAGAAGATAACAAAATCTGGCATTAAACATAACCGTAATAGCAACATACATGATAATGGGGTTCTTCAGGCCTTAGATTAAGAGATGAGAGACTATGGTAAAAGAATTGCGTAATAATCGCCCTAAGTAATACCGACTCCAATTTATGATATTGTATATAGAACAAACTAAACAAAATTTGATCTATAAGCTTGCAGAATCTTCCGATACAATCTACATAAGAGAGAACAAACCCTAATCCTGTTCTTTCAGATCACAAGAAACACGATCTTCCCCGCAGCCAAAGAATTCAAATTGCAAAGAGTACAACAGGTAAGACTAACCCATAATTAAACTTCCATCAGGCGCCGATCAGGATCTGGCTATACACGCGCTGCAATTGCAGGACCTGCGGCTGAAGCAGCGGTGGCCGCGCCACCGAGAAATGACAGGAACCCTCCATTTGCAGGCTCTTGGTCATCAAGGAAGAGATCCTCTGGAAGCCTAAACGCACCGTGAATGCACACAATGGAAAATCCAATCATCGACGCCGATATCAGAAGCGATCCAACACTAGTGAGAAACACAACAATCACAGTCAGAACCCCCAACCCGACCAACGTCTCGAAATCGGAAAAAGTACGTCCGCGAATAACCAAAGGCTGATCAGAAGGACGGAAAATGTAGAGAAAACTCCAAGCCGCGAGGAGGGCAAGAAGAGTCAAGAGAGAAAACGGATGGGAGAGGAGAGAAAAAGCGAGAACAAGGGTCAAGAGAGTGATATAATTGACACGGAAATATGAAAAGTTCTTGCGGATCCGGGAATAGGCTTCGGATAGGTTGAGGGGACGAGCCAAGGAGCTCCGATCGACGAGCTCCGACCAGGGGCGGCGTTGGGAGAAGCCTTGGCGGACGGAGGAAGTTAACCGAGAGAGAAATGCGCGGAAGGCCGGGGTGGCGATGGGCGGGTGAGATGGAGCTCCGGTGGCCGACTGATGGCCGGAAATCGGAAGTGTCGGTGGAGAAGCCATTGGTGGAGGAGAGTGAGATCTGGCGGTACGCTGCAAAATTAATACCGCGGGGTTTCAGAGAATTTATTTGTTCGTAGAAAAACCCAGAGGAATTGAGGCCCTTACGCGGTTGTCTATATATATATATAGGTGGGCAAGTTGTAACTTCGCCCTTCAGAGTTTTTATTTTATTTTTATATCTTTAGAAGGGATCATGAGGTTCATATATTAATAGTTTGGATCACACTCATATTCATACGGGATCACACTCATATTCATACGGTGCATCCATTCAATATATATCTCGTTTGAATCATAACCAATGTTAAACAACATCTTAAGAATCGAATAATACTGATACATTAAGCATCAAATAAAAATATAATAGATTGACATCGTCTAGCTTAAGTAATAGACCACGTTGAAAAAGAAATCCTCAACCATGAACTTAAGTGATAGACCAAAAACCAAGATGCTAATTTCACAGGAGCGGTCATTGGCCTCCATGAACAAAGTTGACCTCTCAAAGGTGCAAGTCATGAAATTGGGTCTCACTTAAGTTGAGGTCACGACTAAAGACTAATAAAGAATTAAAACTTTTTCAACTGCTTAAGTTTATAGTAAGCTTTCGAACCATAGAATAATTATATAGATAAGAAGACAGAGAAAGAAGAAGGGAATAAAAGAGAAAATATAAATAATTACGACCTCAATTAAATAGGAATATATGGGCAAAACATTTTAAACAATAATGGACAACATTTATAGTAAAAATGCCATTTTTTCTCGTGTAAAATTAAAGAGATATGGAATTCCATCGTAAGGTTGAAAAACGAATCTAATTAAACTCTGATGATAAAATTCCAGGTAACGATTTAAATTTAATTTTTTGTATTTATAATTATTTCTTCACAAATAATAAAAACTTGGAAATTTAAATGCTACAAGTAGATAATTGAATTAATCTTAAAGTCACTTTTAGAGAAATACTTGAAATAATTTTTTGGAAAAAATATTTTTGAGTGTTTAACATGTAATCCGTACCAAATTTTTATAGCATATAAAAGTGATCAAAATACTCACAGTACCTCTCACATTGGTGACCATCACAGCCCCTGCCGTTGCTACCGACAAGATCGACGATCTCTGCAGCATTAAAAAAAAAAAAAAAAAAAAAAAAA